GGCAACGGGATTGCAACCCTCGGTGTTGCGCCCGCACCTCGCTCAACCAGTGAGCGGGAACCGGTCTCCACATGGGATCCGAACCCTTGGCGGGAGTGCCGCCGCGCTCCCAAGCGGCGCACTCTCCAGTGCGCCACTGGGCCAGCCCAGACAAATGAGTTCTTTAAGAAATTATTATTATTATTAAACCCTTGGCGGGAGTGCCGCCGCGCTCCCAAGCGGCGCACTCTCCAGTGCGCCACCGGGCCAGCCCAGACAAATGAGTTCTTTAAGAAATTATTATTATTATTACTGAGAGTAGACCTAGAGAAGCACAAAAGAATAAGCAAACGACACACTGATATATGAGGTCCTGGAAGTGCAACAGCACAATAACATTAAGCTGAAAGGAATAACCACCTTCCAATCTGGAGTAGAAGTAGAAAGGTGGGTTTGAACTAGGGTGGGTCTGAGGAGTCCAGCCTACTTTGGAATATTCAGTCCTATTTGGGCATTTTTGGCTATAACTGAAGTGAACCAGAGGTGCCCAAGTAGAACTGTGGCCCACAACATGAGCAAGGGGACTGCTCCCACCCCCAGCCCAAACCCAGGTGTCACTAAGAACTTATCTTCTGAGCAAATCTTCAGAGCACATCTTTGCTCTCTGCTCTCAGCTCTTACCCGGTGTTTTCTAAAACTGAAGTCTAGAAGTGGCATACACTGCTTCAGAAATGCTTCCACAAAGAGACGTCCATACTGAAGAAAAGAGACACATTGGTGACCTCTAGCTGAGATCTTTCTCCTGAAAGGTCCTGGCATGAGGCAGCATAGCATTACCCAGCCCAAGGGTTTTATCTTCTTATTTTTATATGTAAAAAATAAATTGTGAGGGGTCTAAAAGGTTAATTTGGAGAATGTAGCTTAATGTGAAAACTAAATAGGCCTGCTAACTAAGCCTTAGAATTAGGCAGACTTAACTACCCTAGACACAGCCAGTCGACAGGGGCCTTGCTCAGCTTAAGAATGAGAGAACAGAGGAGCAGAGGGGAACTCTAGCTCCCTGAGGATAACTAACTTCCCAGAGGCAAAAACTGGGTAGATCTGAGGAAGCATATGAGCAATTTACAAATTTCCCAATCAGACAAATCTCTCTCCCTGACTTACCCATCTTCCACACTGCAACACAGTGGCAGATGAGTAGAGAGAGATGCCAGGAGATGAAAAGAATGAGAAGATACCCACTTGGAAGGAAATATCAGAAGTAGGGAAGAAGCTTTCTCCCCATAATATCCCTATTGAATTTGCCATCAAATCTAGCATGAATCCAGGCTATCCCCATGGGATAGGAGTTTGGCAATTATCAGGATATCAGCTCCCACATTCATGAGGCTACCTCACGGGCTTTAAAAAAGGAGGAATCATCCATTCTTCCTTCCCTCTTGTCACTTGGGAAGGAATGACAGGGAGGGTAAGGAGACTACTATTCCTAAACGCAACTGCCCTGAAGCCATTCCTCCTAGTTCTAAAAGTCTGACCCAAAACTTTCAAACTCATAGGAAATTGGCTTCTCTAGTCATCCAATTACTGTGGGAAAATGTATCCAGTGCCTTTCCTAAACTGTTGCCTATTAACACAAATTCTGGAGACACTAGCTTATGGGCAAGGAATTAAGCAATTCATCTCGGCTGAGACTGTCTGTAAAGTGATCCACAGGAATAATAAATATTAAACAGGACCCAATAAGTCTCTCACCTTTAAACAGGCATGCAGAACAGGATGACTATCAAAGACCTGGAGAGGTAAAAGACAAGAAACCAAAGCTGAGGTCTGTTCCTTTGAGCACCCCATCCTCTTTTCTGCAGTGTAAAGAGCAGCTCTGGCTGCTATAGAGAATTCTAAATTGAGGAAGGCATGTCAACAGTTAAATTAACTATAAAGCACAATAAAGTAACCACCATAAATGAAGTTCAAGAAAAGGAAAAAATAAATAAATAAATAAATAAATAAAAAGGAGCAAAGAGGAACAAGAAATTGATTCCAACTGGGGATGGTGAGAAGATGGCATTAGTAGAGGTCCAAAACCTTGACTTGAAGCCTTAAGAAAAACTGAACAAAGAGGTAGAAAGGAAAGAGAATGACATTCTATTCTGGGGGAACAGTCTGAGCAAAATCAAAGAGTAGGTGAGAGCACAGAGTATGTCTGAAGGTTAATGAAGGCATTCAGGGTCAGAAGAGGGAGTGTGCTTAGATCACAGAGGACCCAAGGCAAGATGAGAGAAAGTGGGGGAATGACAGGTGGAGGGTGCCGTTAAATAGTAAGCATTGTGGCACAGGTAGGAGGAAGAAAGAGAAGGAGAAATATACTGCCAGGGAGAGAAGGAGTTATCCAGGATGAGTATGAGGACAAGGGAAGTAGACGGGGGGAGAGCAAGCCCCAAGGAAGGGTAGGCAGAGGAGAAAGGAGAGCCAATTTTGGAAGCTAAGACCCTTGGTTTCTGTAGTTAGCCAGTGAGATGAGTCAAGGAGTCTCAATACTCACCTTTATCAGGTTGATGAGAATACTGAAGTCTCGAACAGCCATGTTCCAGTAGAGGAGCTTCTCTTCATGAATCTGTGGGCAGCCCAATATATAGGTGCCTCTAAATCAGACAAATACTTCTCCTACCGTACTCCCACTAATACACAGTTCTTCAATTATATAGCTATTCAGAGATTCAAGCCAATTGTCCTTCCAAAAAGATGTGGCAACCAGCACACCCTAGATGGTTCTGAGGCCTGCACATACTGTGATAACATAACAGTACCTGATAGACACTTTCCAAAAAGATGAGTCATCTTCGGTAATTTCCAAGTAGGTGAAAGCCTCTGCAACATACCTAGTGACCATCAGATCTCTGTGGCTTCTCTGATTTCCTATGCTAGCCCTTGTTCTCAGCAGTCAAGGTCAGTTCTGGTTAGCAGGTTGCCAAGGCCCACAGGATTTCAAACAGGCTGGTTTACCTCATGCCAGCTGGCAAGTGGCAAACTGGGCATTAGCCACGTAGCCCTTGTTCTCAGCAGTCAAGGTCAGTTCTGGTTAGCAGGTTGCCAAGGCCCACAGGATCTCAAACAGGCTGGTTTACCTCATGCCAGCTGGCAAGTGGCAAACTGGGCATTAGCCACACAGCGGGAGCGCCGCTGCACTCCCAAGCGGCGCACTGTAGCAGTGCGCCACCGGGCTGGCCCCGAGACTCTTCCACTTCTATGATTTAACAATAAGAAATTAGCTGACTGTGTAAAACAGAACAGAGGATCTTAAAATCCACATATTCCAAATTGTCTTCATTTTAAACCTACTTCATTACTTTTAAGTTCCCCTTAACAAAGGTCATTTCTTAGTCTCTGACCAGAAGGATTCCAACAGTAGAAAAATGGAAAAAGCCTATTTGGTGTGTTAGAAGAAACCAAACATCTCACCAGAGCAAAGCATGAAGCTGGTCATTAAAGATGTTGCTCTTCTCTTTCTCCCCTCTTGGCCACACCCGACAGAGGAACCGTCTGGCCAAGGAAGCTGTTGGAAACAAGACAAAGGCACCTCATGTATGGGATACTGACTTCATTCTTGTCTTTTAGGCTTTTCGGGATGATTATTGATGAAAAGGATTATTATTTTAAATTTACTAAGAAGTTCCTGGTCTAACAGGGAATTTTTTTTTTCCTTTTTGTCTTTTTTACTGACGGTAACGGGATCGCAACCCTCAGTGTTGCGCCCGCTCCGCGCTCAGCCAGTGAGCGGGAACCGGTCTCCACATGGGATCCAAACCCTTGGCAGGAGTGCCACCGGCCGGCCCATAACAGGGAATTTTTAAAAAGCTCATGTTCCTGCTCCACTGGCTCTTCTGCCAGAAATAAACCCATTTCTCTGTCTAAGACCCAACACATCCCACTTCCTCACCCCATCTTGAAACACACCAACATGAACATACGCAGACATGAAAAGAGAAAAGGAATGCTGCTGGGCAGTAGGAAAGCCAATCTTGTTCCTTCTGGGCAGGCCAATAGCAGTGGCCACTTCACAGATTCAGATCAAACCCCCCCTTTTAATCAACAGAGAATAATTAAGGTTTGTTTTGCATTTTCATCTTGCTTTCTGTTTGTGCTGCCAACTAAGATGTATAATCAGTGAGTTACATTCCAAGAGTAATGACAAAAGATAGAGAAAAAGGGAAGGAGGCAGTACTTCCTTTACTCTTGATCCTGATTTCTCCTTTTTCTCCAACTTTATTAACATTATCTTATTTCTTTTTTTTTTCTTTAAAGATGACCAGTAAGGGGATCCCAATCCCTGACTTGGGGTTGTCAGCACCATGCTCTCCCAAGTGAACCAACCGACCACCCCTATATAGGGATCCGAACCTGCGGCCCTGGTGCCATCAGCACCACATTCTCCCAAGTGAGCCACGGGCTGGCCCTACATTGTTTTATTTCTTATTGCCAAATGTTTCAGATAATTAAAAATAAATAAATAAAAAGGAAGAACATGATTAAATTTAAGCAAAACAAAGAACTGTCTACCTAGCTGATCTAACCAAATTCAGACTAAGCAATGTCAGCAGAAATCAGTCATAGTTCCTTCTAGGAAAATGTCCTTGTTGGAATAGCAAGAGGGCATGCCTAAGGCTTATGTGGGGATTTACATGTAAAAATGTACAAGGTCCTGGGAAGCCCCAAGTTTACAAGTGTGAGATATTAATCCTATTCACGGAGAAAAAAAAAAGAGGATCTGGGCCCATCACCAATTTTTTCTCTGTTTTGAGTTGGAGCTGTAGATTTCTCCCAGATGACAATCAAAAGTCTGATGAGATAAAGAGCACACTGGAAACTGGGAATGCTGTGATGGAAATTCTGCAAGTAATGGAAGCTCTGGCTGTATTGAGAGATGAAAACAAATACATACACACAATAACATTACATATATTATAGATATGTTTAAATCCACACAAGATACCCAAGTCCCCTTCAAGTGTTTGATTGCATAATTAGAATCCTCCTCATTTTCAGGTGCTTTAGTAGCAACCTTCTTTCAAGCATCTCCATGGAAGACTATATCTTTGTATGGAGAAGGCCAGGGCAGCAGAGTGCCATTGATGAAATGCTGGCCTTGAAGGGGTCACACATGCCAAGAAACCCAAGTACCATGCTAATATGTGCAACCCTGGATAAATTATTCACTCTTTAAAGCCTTAGGCAATATACTGAAAATAATGTTTAAAATCTAGGGTCATAGAGACAATGTGAAAGGAAATTATAATATAAGGCAGAGAAGCAGAGCTTTTAATAAATAAATGTCTCATATGTGGATAGCTTTCAATGCACTGAAGTAATGGGAGATGAAGAATCACAATTAACCCAAAATTGTAGTTAAAATAAAACTAGCATCAACTCCTGATTGACTGGTGAGAAGGAGATCAAACAGACTAAAAGTGCTGTATTTAAAATGAAATAACATCCTGCCAGCAGGCAGGGATGACAAGCACTGACTGCTGATCCAGTGACAGCCTCACCTATCAAAGAGGACAAGAGAAAGACCCTAGTCACTCTGTTTGAAGCTGGGGTGGAAGGCTGGGAGCCACGCCCCTTACATCACCTTCTCACCTTCCTCTTCCACTGCCTAGCCTTCAGTCACATATGGTCTTCCTCCAAGACTGGGGGAAGAAGACAGGCAATCAGTGATAACCAGCTGCTGCTTAATTATGCAGCTCTGCTAAGAGACAGAGTGGGTCCCTGGATAGTTAACAGTTGACTACAGAACACATCATTGTTACCCGAAAAGGCAGACTTTATGGGCTGATGTATGCATGAAGATTTAACCTGATTTGTTCAAGGGTTTCTAATGCTTCAAGATTTATCAGAATACATAGGTGAGAAAGTTCATACACTGAGGAAAAGTAACTGAAAATTTCAATTTCCTTCACAACTATTGAGAGACACTCAAGTTATTTCAAAGAAATCTTCCCAATCCTGTTCCTAGGAGTTTCTTGGGACAACACTCTGGGACATACCTGAGCAGTTCATTCAAGGACTGGTTACGTTGTCCCTCCTTCAGTCGGTTACTGAGGACCTCAAGGGCTGAGTACAGTAAATTACAATTTTCAGGTTGAAAAAATCCATTCCTAAGGGAAAGTCAAAGTAAGATAGTTTAGCTTAGTTTTAGGATGATTACTTGGATGGCATTTGAGAATACTGGCCTCTGGTCTGTATCATTTGGAGTTCGAAAAAAAGAAGAATTGATAGTCAAGTGCCAAATTCAGTCACAGTCCTAAGTATCAGATAAGAAGTTGAAGTGCGCCCAAAATAGTCTTTCCTAAGGACCTCACAGGTTTATTTTCAAGGGAAAAAGCTCTCCTTCACTGCCCACATTTTAGAGATATCTCAGTCTTTCTAAAAACACAGGAATGATTTTTGTCAAATCACTAAATCCATATAGTAGGTGCTTGATAAAGAAATTATCCCTTCTTCTACATTAATAAGTCAAGTCTTGACAATCCATCTTAAGATTATTTTTCATACTGTCCCTTCCTTTCCAAGCCCTGACCGTCACTCTAGGCCAGACCCTTAACATCATATGAGTAGATTACAGTGACACCTTTTAATTGGTCTTTTTGCATCTCCTTCCAATCTGTCCTGCACTCTGCTGCCAAAAAGATTTTCCTAAAACATTACTTTCATTATATCATGGCTGTGATCATAAAATTCTAAAATTGCTTCCCTGAACATTTAAATTCTTCTGTCTGACCTTCAAAGCCAAGCACAATCTGCCTCCCTAAACATTATTCTCCTCTAGAAATATTTTCTTTTTTCTTTTTTTTAAAAGATGACCGGTAAGGGGATCTTAACCCTTGACTTGGTGTTGTCAGCACCACGCTCAGCCAGTGAGCGAACCGGCCATCCCTATGTGGGATCCGAACCCGGGGCCTTGGTGTTATCAGCACCGCACTCTCCCGAGTGAGCCACGGGCCGGCCCTAGAAATATTTTCCAAAACACCAGTTGTAGTCATCCCTCCTTTCAACAAAAGTATTCTGAGGGCCTATTAGGTATCAGGTTACACCCACCCACACACGGTTTTTTAAAGGTATAATTGATGTATAATAAACTGCATGTATTTAAAATATTGAATTTAATCAGTTTTAACTTACAAATCCATGAGATCATCACCAAAATTACCTCCTGGAAGTTTCTTTGTACTCCACCTTCCATCCAATGCTAGGCAACCACTGATCTCTTTTCCATCACTACAATATTATATGCTTTTTCTAGAATTTTATATATATGGAATCAAATACTATGTACTCTTATGGTCTTGCTTCTTATTCAGCATAATTCTTTTTTCATGTTGTTGCATGTAGTATTCTATTATACGAATATATCACAATTTGTTCATATATTCTTCAGCTGATAGACATTTGAGTTGTTTCCAGTTTGGGGTTATTACAAATAAAACTGCTATAAAACATTCACATACAGGACTTTGTGTGGATATACGCTTTTATTTCTCTAGGGTAAATACCTAAAGATGAAATGGCTGGGTCATATGGTAGATGTATGTCTAACTTTTTGATAAACTATCAAACTGTTTTCCAAAGTGGTTGTATTATTTTACAGTTCCACTAAAAGCATGTGAGAGTTCTAGTGGCTCCACATTCTCACCAACACTTAGCATGTTAAGTCCCCATGCTAGTGGGTGTGTTGTGCTGCTACCTCATTGTGCTTTTAATTCATATTTCCATGTCAACTAATAATGACCATCATTTCATGTGTTTATTTGCCATCTATAAATCTCCTTCATGAACTGTCTGTTCAAATCTTTTGTCAGGCATTGCTTTTAAGTACTGAGAATACAAAAATGACTGATGTCTGTCCTCATGGAGCTCACAGTCTAGTAGGGAAGACAGATGAACAAGTAATTATAATAAAAGATGATAAGTTTTATCATAAGAGGATACCAGAGTGCTAGGAGAGAACTAGGGGTCAGGGAGGCAGGAAGGAGGCTTACCTGGCCTAGAGGTCAGAGAAGTTGCCTCTGAGGAAGTGAAGTTTAAGTCCAGATCTGAAGAGATTAGATGAGCCAGAAGAGGCTGGGGATCAAGAAGGTGGGAGTCTTGGTATGAGTATGTGAAGCCTTCCAGGTGAAAACTATATAAGGGTCCTGAAATTAATTCAGTATGGCTGGAGGCAGAGTTTAAGACAGTAAGTGGAATAGGAGTCAGACAGTAGAAGGCCTTAAAAGCCAGACAAAAGACTTTGAAGTAAAGAAAAATATAAACAGCAATTGGAGACCAAAATGTGGATAGGATCATACTGGGTCTGTGTTGGGAAGATCACTCTGACTTCTGTGTGAAGAATGGACTGAGGGAGGACAACTGGAGGTGGAGAGACCAACTGTGAAACTGATCTAGTCCAAGTGAGAGGTGATGGGAGTCTAGAAGCAGGGGAGAGAGACAGATGGATACCTAGATATGATCTAGATGATAAAATCAACAGGATTTGGCAATCAGGTGTGGGAGAGAGAAAGGGTAGAGAACAGAAGGAGGGACAAAGAATAACTCCTGGTTTCTGGCTCAGACAACTAGTGGTGTCATTTACTGAGCCAGGCAAAGCTGAGGGAGCAGTGGGAAGGATGATACACTCTTTTTTGGATGTGATGAGTGTGAGGTGTCAATGACACATGTAAGGGGGTGTTGAGTAGGCAGTTAGATATAAATGCCTATAGCTCAGGAGATAAATTTTAGCATAAATTTAAGCTTAGGTAAGATTACCCAGAAAACTTGTATAATGGGAACGGGGGGACCAGGGCCTAACCTTGAGGAACAAAAGTATTTAAGGGACACATCTCCCTCAATTCTACTTTCGACCATGATGTACTTTCCAACTTCTTTACCTCCCTAAATGCCAGCTCCCTTTCAATGACCCAATGAAATCCACTGCTTCCATGAAAAGCTGTGTTCAGCTCTTTGTCACATAATATGGAATTTATTTACAACTTATTTAATAACAATTTCTTAGGGCCAGCCTGTGGCTCACTTGGGAGAGTGTGGTGCTGATAACACCAAGGCCATGGGTTTGGATTCCTATATAGGGATGGCCGGTTAGCTCACTTGGGAGAGCGTGGTGCTGACAACACCAAGTCAAGGGTTAAGATCCCCTTACCGGTCATCTTTAAAATAAATAAACAAATAAATAAAAATAATAATTTCTTAAGTAACAGTCTCTCGTGTTATTATAGAAGGCTTGCTACAGCAAACAGGCTAAGAATCACATGGCCAGATTTGTTAAAGATTAGCTAATTAGCAAGTTACCTAATTTATCAAATAGGTTAACAATAATGGCTCCATAAGACTTGAAGGGTATAGGATCGAATGAAATGATACAAACAAAAACACTCCAAAAAGAGTAAAGCACCATATTTACATAAGACTTTTGGGCTTTTCTTTTCCATATCTCAGTGCCTTGGTGACTGATCACCAAGTAAAAGCAAGTATATACTCACTTCTCTCTACTACCATACTTCGCACAACTTACCAAGCAAAAAGCCCATGAAAGATCTGCAGTAGCCTCTGACAGCAAGAAGATATTATGTGGTACTCTTGAACTTTGACTGCTGGTCTATCAACTACACCATGATTCTCAGCAGCTAAACACTAAAAAGGAAAATAATTTTAGGATAGTTGCTTCAGCAATTGCCCTCTTTTCACAGCCAAAAATGAAATCTCATGTTCACTTAGTGATTTCTAAGTCTCTATAATGATAAGATAGGCTTCTGACCTGAAAATAGTTGTGAATGTTCTCCAGATGGTTACACATTGGGGTCAACAGTTGAACAACACAATGAGCAATTTCTTGGGCAGATCTCTGATGCAGATGTGAGAATCCAATATTCCGACTTCCTTTATTCTATAATAAATTCAGTTATGGGATTAAAAAACTGCTGGATATTGACAAAATAAAATTAAAAAAAAAAAAAAAACTGCTGGATAGCTTCTCTGAAACTAAAAGTTCATTACGGAGTTAAGTCAAACCTACGTCACCAGGTATCAGCAAATGGGAGAAAGGAGTTGTCTAAGACTATATTTTGACAAAGGAATAAAAACTTTGCTCTATCTTCAGCTAACCAAGAGATTGGCTTTTGTAGAGTAAGGACAGTGTTTGATTGAGAAGACCCATCATAATTAATGACATAGACCCATCATAATTAATGACATAAAGCTCACACAAAGTGGAAATCATTTGACAAGACTATGGAGCAGATACTGAGTACAAAGAAAAAAAAAATCAAATAACTGGATAAATTAATGTTTAAATGTTCATACTCAAGTCTCTCATATTTTGCTGTTTGCACCATGCAACTGCTTCCTCAGATGCTAGGTGCACATCTGTACACTATATACACACCTGAGGTTCTGACTTTTCTAGACAGCCAATTACTATACTGAAGCTTGGACAGGTGCTTAGTTTGGGAGGCTGTTAAAATCAAAACCTGAATATTCTCTACCTTCTGGGAGAGGTCTTCCAGCAAGAAAAGCAGCTCAGGGGGCCCAAGCTGTACAACTTCTGTAGCCTGTCACCAGGAGGAAAAAGAGAAAAATTCTAAGAATGTCCTACTCATTTTTTTTTTTTTTTTAAGATGACTGGTAAGGGGATCTTAACCCTTGACTTGGTGTTATCAGCACCACACTCTCCCAAGTGAGCCACGAGCTGGCCCTCTAGTCATTTTTTCTGTACATTTTATGTTCACTTTTCCCAATGGGTGGAGAATCTGAGACTTTTAACAAAAAAGGGAAAAATTTCCCCTACCTAATACAAAGGATGGCTGTTGTGCTTTATCAACTGATCAAGAAGTCAACATTTCCAAAATAAAACAAATTTTCAAATTATTAAAATAGAAATCTGAAGGCTAGCCAGTTACCTCAGTTGGTTAGAGCACAGCATTACAACACCAAGGTCAAGGGTTCGATCCCTATACTGGCCAGCTGCCAAAAAAAAAAAAAAAAGGAATCTGTGACAGCACAGAAGACACACTTTTTTTCTAGAAATAAATTCTCTGTGCATCTTTCTAGCTGTGGATCCAAGATGCATTTCCTAAATATCCTGTGATAAAAGATGACTAATTCAAGGGAATTTCACTTTTCTCTGTTCATTAAGTAATCCTTTCATACTTTCTTTACCTTAATATTTTGCTACTATTAACTCTGGGCAGGATCCCTATAAGTATATTATACTGCCAGAAGCAGAATGGGTGAAAATACAGTCTGACTTCAAACTGTTCACTCAATACAGACTTATGGGGAATCTCCTAAGGGCAATCTGATGCGGAAATACTAAAAAAAAAAAAAGGAGATACTCTTTCTATTCTGAAGGTGCCTACATTCTTGTAACTCTCAGGTAGAAATCCACACTATTTCAATTTTTGTTAACCTGGAGAAATTCTACTCAGTGGTGAAATCCCATATCGAAAATTACTTTTTCTGTGAAAATGTCCTCTACTCCCAACTTCATTATAAATACAATACCATTCTCTCATCAGAGTTTCACTGGTACTTGGTTTAGCCACTAATACAGTAAGTGTATTAATACAATATGTGCTCTATTGATGAGCAGGTCCACTTCCTCTATTAGATTATGAGCTATTTGAAAGCAAGCATCATATTATACATACTAACAAACTGCCAGTGTCTAGATTACTGGCAAACACAAAAGGGCATTAGTTAGCATCTGTTGGATGCTGAACAAACGTTATGAAAAAGTGAAAACAGCATTGACCTCCATAAACCAGAACAGTGCTTCTCTATAAAAGCAATCTAAGTAGCATATTACTATTAACACAAAGGTAAGAATCACATAATCAGCATGATATCTTATAAAGACTTTTGAAGTCAGAGTTTAACTTGTCAATGTCACAGTGTTTTTTCTGAAATAAGAATAGAGGTGAGCTGGCCGGCCCGGTGGCGCACTGCTGTAGTGCGCCGCTTGGGAAGCGTGGCGGCGCTCCCACCGAGGGTTCGGATCCCACATACAGACCGGTTCCCGCTCACTGGCTGAGCGAGGCGCGGGAGCAACACCGAGGGTTGCGATCCCGTTGCTGGTCCTGGTCCGGTACGGGGGCAACACTGAGGGTTGCGATCCGTTGCCGGACACGGAAAAAGACAAAAAAAAAAAAAAGAATAGAGGTGAGAAACTTTCTGAAAGAAGATTAAGTCTTAAGAGTCCAGTCTATTACTTACTTCAGTGTGCATTTCAGTATCTAAGATGAACTTGGTCACAAGCCCACAATGCAGAATAGCTAAGCATTTCATGTTATCTTTGCTGGTCCTGGTCCGGTACGGGGGCAACACTTAGGGTTGCGATCCGTTGCCGGACACGGAAAAAGACAAAAAAAAAAAAAAGAATAGAGGTGAGAAACTTTCTGAAAGAAGATTAAGTCTTAAGAGTCCAGTCTATTACTTACTTCAGTGTGCATTTCAGTATCTAAGATGAACTTGGTCACAAGCCCACAATGCAGAATAGAGAAGACCTCCATGTCCAGCTCTCGGAAGAAAGCACGGTAATTCTGTAGTGACACTGATGTCTTTTCTTCCTTCCCTGTGAACTCCTTGGGGGAAAGTAGCGTAACCAAGAAAATAAATGTCTTCTACACTAGTCTAAGTTTTAATGAAGATTCTAAAATGCAAATATGCACTCATTTTATGCGGAAAGTTTTATTTTCATCACAACACCAACTTCCTTTCACCGAAGTTCTACATATTCCTGAGACAGAGCACTTAATTTATTTTTTGTTTCTTTTTTTTTTTTGCTACCTGGCTGAGAACTTAATTTAATATGGGGATATAAGTCAAACATCAAGACCATTGGTAGGTTTCTACTTAGGAATGAACTATTAGGCAAATTAAGGCATTATGGTATGGTATAGAAAACTATGGGCTGATGGGCCAGAAAGAAGTAGAATCAAATCCTAGCTCAAGCAGTTATTAACTGTGTGACCTTGCGCAAGTTACTTATCCTCACTGGGCCTTACTTTCTTCATCTATTAAATGTGTATATTAATACTAAGCTTGGGTTTTTAGGAGGATTAGAGGAGTTACACATAATAAATACACAATAAATGGTAGCTGAAACACAGAAATAATTGGGATCCACGTGGTCCAGGAAATTTCACAAATTAATAAGACCTATTCTGTGAATGGTACAAAGTTACAGGGAAAGAGAACTATTGTTACTCAAGTATCAGAAACTATACTAAGCATTTCATGTTATCTCGATTCATTGAGAAGTTGACAATCTGGGACTAGAAGGGGAAAGAGGCTAAAAGAAGTATATATAAACTACATTGTAAGACAGAATTTGATTACTGCTGCAAGAGAGAATTCAAAGTACTGTTGGGGTGCAAAAAGGGAGTAAAACATTCAAGAAAATAATTATAATCAACAACAGTGTGTAATAGGGTGAAGGACTTAAAGTCTAACCTGAACGTTGCTACTAAGAAGGTAATTCCAAGGCCTAGATTTCATTTGCCCTTCTATTCCTTAACTTTTTCCTTTGTAAAATGCAGAAAATAAAGCTGGCCCTGTCAATCTCACTGGGCTGTCACACATCTTCATCGCTACCGATCATTCCAATACCTTGTCCAGTTGGCTTCTATCACACAGTGTAGGGTCATGACGTTCTGAATAATCCTCCTTTGAAAGTGTGTCCGGGGAGGATGTTTTGCTGCCATCTGCTTTTCTTTTCCTTCCTCCTTTTATTACAAAAAGAAAAAAGTGACTCAAATAATCAATAATCATGTTTGCCAAATATCACTGCCCTCAGGAAATAATCTGTTGAAGACTTCCTAGAAATAGAAGAGGTAATTTTATAACCTTAAATTATAGTGCATATATAACCGTGCTCAATTACATAATCTCTCCAATTACTGATGCCTTGATAAACATAACCTCTCAGGTTAATTCAATGCAGCTTATATAGAGATATAAGATAAGAAGAAAAGAATATACTCACCCATCTTTCCTTTTTTTCTGATTTTTGTTGAAATAGCAGTACTGGTATGAGGTGTTATATGTAAAGTTTCCAAGTCAAAGTTTGCAAGAGGAGGAACATAGTCTGGAGTGACTGAAACAAAGAGCAGGCAGGAGCGCAGTATATACCAACCATATTCCACCATTAGACTTGGAACGCAATCACCCGACTGGCTAAACACTAGTTTCCAAAATTACCGTGTTTATAAGATACATTCAATTCCTCTGACATTGTTTTGACATAGCAAAATGGCCAGAGGTAACTTATAGAAATATCAGATTTATTGATTATGATCAATTAACATAAAATAATTCTAAATAATGATATAAAATAGCCAAGCAGGTAAGGATTAAAAATAAATTTACACTTAAAATCTAAAGATATTAACATTATTTGGTAACACAGCAGTTTGTTTTACATACACTTATTTTAGCTGAGGGTCAGAGGGAGGCTACATATATTCCCCAGAGAATCAAGCTAGCACTTTAAAATGACTAGTTCACTTAATGGTCAGAAGATACTAAGAGATCTTTCATCTTTACTCCTGGTTCATGACTATGTTCAGAGGCTGGCCTGTTAGTTCAGCTGGTTAGAGTGTAGCCTTATAACACCAAGGTCACGGGTTCTGATACCCTTACCGGCCAGCCATCAAAAAACAACAACAACAAAAAAGAATCATGACTATGTTCAGGAAGGCAAAGGTTACTGGAAGTTTGACCACCAATGTAGGTACGTAAGTTTAAAACAGCCCAACTAATGTTTTCTATTTTCTATTTTCTCAAATAGTAAGATCTTTAGGAGGTATCAATGGGAGCAAAATTGATATACTCATTAAAAATTTTGTTTAGCGTACATTTTCCTTGACCCAGAGGAGTAGGGGACAGGTATCACTGTGCCTGGTTTAAAAGATAAGTTCTTGGTTGGCCAGTTAGCTCAGTTGGTTAGAGCATGGCATTGTAACACCAAGGTCAAAGGTTTGGATCCCCATACTGGCCAACTGCCAAAAAAAAATACTAAGTTCCTTATTATCACTGTGCCTGGTTTAAAAGATAAGTTCTTGGTTGGCCAGTTAGCTCAGTTGGTTAGAGCGTGGCATTGTAACACCAAGGTCAAAGGTTTGGATCCCCATACTGGCCAACTGCCAAAAAAAAAATACTAAGTTCCTTATCCTGGCCAACTGCCAAAAAAAAATACTAAGTTCCTTATTCCCTCACCACTGACCTAGTAGGGCTACCAGTATAGGACACTTTCCTTACCTACAATATACTTTTCCAGGATTTTCTGCAGTTCTACAATGTGCTTTAAACGTGTGAGCACCTTCCCCTTCATCTCAGGTGATGTCTGACTGCAGAAAGCATTCACAACCTATAAAGTACAAATCATATTCTCATGCTTTGAAAAGTTCAGATTTTAACTTTGTTTGCATTATTCATCCAGAGCTGAAAGATGCCATTGAACTGCAGGATCTGTGAGTTTAATCTGTGATGTACAAGCGTTCTCAGCAAGGGGGTGGAGAAAAAAATCCCTGGTCCAAAATACAGGAGAGATGACTTTTAATCCTAGTTCTACTTATTGCTAGTTATGTAACAAGGTGAAATAGCTAGAGGGCACACACTTGGTGAAACAAGTCCTATTCTACTACTTACTAACTGTGTGACTTTGGCTGACTCTTTAAACTTTCTGAGATTTTATTTCTTCAATTATAAAATGGGAATGTAATTGTTGTATGAATTAAGTACAGATTAAACATTCCTAATACAAAAACCTAAAATCTGAAATGCTCCAAAATCTGAAACATCTACAACACCTACATGATCTTCAAAGGAGCATTTCAGATTTTGGGTTAGAGATACTCAACTGGTTAGGTATTCTACAAATATTCCAAAATCCAAGAAAATCCAAAATCCAAAATACTTCTGGCCCCAAGCATTTTGGATAAAGATACTCAACAACCTGTAGTATAAAAAAAGAAATTAGCCTAGCACGTGGTACAGTGCTTAATAACTTTTAATGACTTTGAACTCTCTGTACTTGAAATTCCGTGTATGTAAAATAAGGACAATACTTGTCCTATAAGCTGAGCTGTGAGAATCAAATGAGCTCATTCAAGCACATAAACATTCTCTGAAATAATGAGAGCGAGGAAGGCAGTAAAAAAGAGATGTGGATGTTGCCATCATTGTCATTACTATTATTAAGCACAAATATGTTCTAAAGGAAGGGTAACTATCATTCACTCATCTCACTGAAATCAAAACAGTAAGGGTATGCCTGTGCTAGGATGAGCAGTGTTTCCATGGTGGAGAAGGTGAGGAGGTTATTCTAGGCAGAAGTAAGAATACAAGAGGTCGTGGAGGAAGTAAAGCATGGGCAACACGAGGTGAATTCTAAGTACTGTATATTTTTTTATTATTATTTTTATTATTATTTTTTATTCCTTTTTGTCTTTTTTTACTGACCGGTAACGGGATCGCAACCCTCGGTGTTG